TTTATTTATTTATTTATTTATTTATTTATTTATTTATTTATTTATTTATTTATTTATTTATTTATTTATTTATTTATTTATTTGTTTGTTTATTTATTAGTCTTGGGAACAATATACTCTCATATTAGGCTTGCACTGGGTATTATTATTACGCTTACTGTTTTTGTACTGATTTTTATTATTATTATTAACTGTGTTACGTATCAGTCAGATATTTGATGAGCATGTACACACACAAATTATCATACCGTGCAATGTATTGGCGTACAAAGAATATCAAGAGTTCGCAGTGTTTCAGTAAAAAGAAGTTGTTATATAGTGGAGACTTCCATTACAAATATGCATTTTCTAGTAGCTGAACATTGTATACATGGATTAAGACATTTGGATAAACTATCAGCTAGGCCCGTAACTTCATTTAATATGCACCTATCCAATCCCAAATATAGACATATTCATTCTGCACACATTTTAAGCTATTTTCTGGTCATGTGAGCTTATTATATATGCACATATGTAGTTCCCTGAAATATTTACGAATTAACTGGGTATTGTGTGTATGGAGGTAGGGGTTTCGATAATATTTCTAATGAAATGTATAAATTATTGTTCTGTTTTCAATTTAAGGGCAATATGCATATATTGAGACAAAATACCCACGGAAAATGGCTGAACGTGCAAGAATAGCTAGTCCTTCAATCAAAGGATCTAGTGTTGGCTGTAGGGTAAGTCGGTATGACCACTAGTCATAAGTGTTAGCTTATGTTCAGGGTAGACAAGCAATCGCCGACTTTAATGAAATTTTGTTCATTCAGATTAGCTTATGGTATCACATGAGTGGAAATACTATTGGATCTCTGGCTGTTTTACTCAGGACATCGTACTCCGATGGTGACAGTGGTTTACAAGTATTGAAGAATATAACTGGAGAGCAGGGTAATTTTTGGTGGCCACTGGATTTAACAATAAACAGTGGGTCAGATTTCAAGGTCAGTTGTACTTGACATAATGTGGCGTTGGAAATGGTGGATTTGGTTAAAGGTCTCGAACTACCAATTAGATTTCTATTGACTACAGTGTTAAGATGATTACGGGTCGGTGTATTATTTTTATGGATTTGTTTCAAACATCAAAATTAATATATATACTCAAGGTATTGTCTGAACAAAAATACGTATGTTGTCATGCTCTTATAAAACAGACAAAAGCAATAAAAGTAACACAGATTGGCTAGCCTTTTGAGAAAAAAAAATCGATTTAGTAGTGTCCAATCCACATTTGGCTGGTTCTTGTTAAGAAACCTCCACGCAGATTGGTCAACAAGAACTATATGTTATGATTTCGGCTGCTAAGATGTAAAATGAACACAAATATAGATTTTTGAATATTAATATATAGGCAATGTGTCCTATTAATATTAACATGTAATTAATAAGATATTATCGTCGCCTTGCTCAGATTGTCCTGGAAGGTATGGTTGGCAATACTTACTATGGTGACATAGCTATAGATGATGTTAGTTTCAGTGGCGAATGCCTGGCTGGAGGACACGTTACAGGTGAAGACATGACAACAGACAGTCCACCACCTACATGCATGGATGACAAACGGAAATTAGCATGTAAAGATGGCTTGGGATGTTACTACAGCTGGGAACGATGCAATTTTTACTCTGACTGTGCAGATAATTCAGATGAGTCTAGTTGTGGTACGTTTCTTAGAAAAACATCGCAACGTAACATGGGGGCGTTCGATAGTGTGATTCGAGTGTAATAGTGTGCGCGATTAAATATCAATGGTGTCGTATTGAACAGTTGAGTTTAGTTCAAAATTGTTACGGACAAGCGTCTGCAGTAACTTATATTTGTATGTCTACAAATAACTAGTATATGTGTGCAATATTGTATCAGCAGTGTGATACAATATAAATTTACCGATATAATTGTTGATTTTATTTTTCAATCTATCGAAAATTCTTTTATTTATTATGTCAATGAATAAATAATGTTAATTTGTAACTTTAACATTACCTAAATTACAATAAATATAACGCTATTAAATATTATTGTTTACATGGGAACAACATCCATAGATGCCACACTACAGTGCAGTCAGATCATTGCAGATGATACATACAAATTCATGCATCATACAGCTGAGTTTTAAACCAGAACTGTGGTTACCATGAACCTATTTTTGCAGGTACATCATGCAACTTTGAAAATGGTTTATGTGGCTGGAAGAATTCTGTGAGTGACCGTTTTGATTGGTCAATAGGAAAAGGATCCACGACTACACAATATTCCGGACCAACCAGTGATCACACATATGGGAATGATCAAGGCAATGTATCGTTCTTATTCACCATGCCATCTAGCGACAAGACAGTTACTATGACGACTAATCGCCAGAAGGCTTAGCATGTTAAAAAACAAACAAATGAACAATACAATGTTTGCATCAATATAATTACAGTTTCATTATACATCAAAAAACTTGAGTGTAATTTGTTTTCATTTCAAATGAATATGTGAATATACACGGCCTGGTGTTGTGATCGACTAAACCGGTATTGCCTTAGATTTGGGTAGTTAATCATATACATCGTCTTTGTTGCAGGTCACTACGTGTTCATAAAGACAGATGGACGGAATGATAAAGACAAAGCTCACCTTATAAGTCTACCACATCAACACAGTCACGAAGACTGCCAATTGACATTCTGGTATCATATGTATAGCCACTACGGAGATAACTATATTGGATCCCTGTCCGTGTCCATTAAATATGCCAATCACCAATCCGATCAACTATGGTATAAAACCGGAAACCAAGGAGATGCCTGGCAAAAGGCAACCGTTATGATCGGGCGCCAAGAGGAGTTCTCGATCATATTTGAAGGAGAGAGTGGAAAATTAAGATATGGAGACGTTGCCATAGATGATCTTGAGTTTGAGAATTGTGTTGATAGTATGAAATCTTATTATCTATAAACTATAGTGAAAAGCATAAAAAAGCTAAGGTCGTTATCAAAATAGATGTTAGAATTCAAAGATCATCGTTAGTTCTAAATAATATTAATGAGTCAACCGTGACAATAAATCATATGCGCACATTATGGGCGTAGACAATGTTTAGCCATTTAGCCAATAACTATTAAGTATTTAAATTTTAGTAAGAATAGATGACGGGTATATAAAGTTTTACCAACGCCGTTATAAGCTATGATACAGCTTTACGTTATTCACTCTATACGGCGATTATTAAAATGAAGACTATAGTATGTCACTAGTACGTATCGGGGAATATTTGTATGAACATATTTATTTAACATTTAACATTTGTATATTTTTTCTTATTCTCAGTAAACTATATGAGACCTTGTGATACAAGTATTGAATTTGAATGTGAACTTGAGCGTCGTTGTTTGTTATTGGACAGATACTGTGATTATAAACCGGATTGTAAAGATGGATCAGATGAAGTTGATTGTGGTAATTATCAATGAACTACTCATGCGTGACGTAAACACATGAAATTAAGAACCATATTCTACATAGGTGATTGCATTTCAAATTATAATATTAAAAGTAACCAAAAATTATTCTTTTGTATTTTTGTCGTAGCTGTGAAACCAGGTGATTGTCATTTTGACAAAGATAGCCTATATTGTGACTATGAACAAAAAGCGGATGACCAATTTAACTGGGTTGCCGGCATTGCGACACCAAGCGAATTCAGTGGGCCGGAATATGACCACACTGAGGCCAATGCTACGCATGGGAAAAGTAAGTTATCATGTCAATCTTGTTTCTTATGTCATATGGCTAAAATTGGAATAAGAGTAATAATCATTATCACAGTTCATATTTCACACATATATCTTTATATCAAGTAAAGTGGTCAAATCAATACAAATTACCATATTTCATTTTATTCATTTTCGAACGTAATCGACTTGAGGCGCAAATGGTGGACGAAATCTCATTGAGAGTGACAGTGCTTAATAGAAGGAATTCATAAGTAACGAAATAAAATACATTTTCAAATGTTTCTTTCACAAACCAACAAAACATGTCGCTGCTCAATTACATGTTGGATGATGTTTTTGATACGCATTCATTTGTGGTTATTGAAAATGCCGACAACAATAGAAATAATGACATTTTTTTAACTTCTGTAGCAATTCAAGATCGTCGCTAAAATAGTGCTTCTTTTCACATTACAGGTCAGTTCATCTATATTGACAGTACTTCCCAGAATTTGAATCAGATTGCTCGCATTGCTACTTCAACGTTATTCCCAGCTAGTACAAATGTATGTAAACTTAGATTTTGGTATCATATGTATACTGATGTAGCTGGCACCATGGGTTCCTTAAGGGTAAGTCATGTCTCGGTAATATGTACAAAAGGGGATCATCAACAACTTTATGTACTTTTGAAGATGATATCATTACAACGTTTCTGTGTAGGTATTTTTTTCTTTATATGAATTACATTCTACCACAGGTTTATACTGAGTCTGACGTTGACAATGAGCAGAGGTTACTCATGTGGGAAAGGGGGCACAATATGGGGAAACATTGGAACTATGCTAATATTGTACTCAACAATCCCCACGATTTTCATGTGGTATTTGAAGGCATCGTGGGACAAAAGGGCCAATCAGATATCGCTATAGACGATGTCACGTTCACACAGTCATGTCGAACTCCAGGTATGTACACTACAAATTACGAGGCCAGAATCGGTAGTAATCCTGATTTTTTTGATGATTTTATAGTTTGAAAAACGTAGCGTGTTTTAAACTTTGTAAACCAAACACATTTGGCATTAAATGTAATATTTTCATAACAGATAATTTCACTGAATTGGAGCCGGGTTACTGTCCACGTAATCAAGTATTCTGTCCTGGTGATCAGATATGTATATTTAAATCCTGGTTGAATGATGGGAATATCGATTGCCCAACTGATTGTTTCGATGAAGTACAATATAGATATAATTGCGGTAAGTTTACTTTCTCTAATACTTTCAACAATAATTGTAACTGAATTTTGATTGTTTTATTATTATCGTTTCTTTTTTTCTAATGAAGATGCTGCTACCGATCCTTTTATTGGTGATGGAAGTAATGAGACTGGAAGTAGGTTTTTTGTTTCTTTTATTTATAATTGAAATTGTTATTATAAAATAACTCATTTTAAACGTTGAGCGAATAAATATATTAGAAATAAAAACAACTAATTAAGTCATTGGCTGGGATGTCTGTGTATGTTCAGAATGTTCAAATTAGTAAATATGTGAAATGAAAATATAAAAAAAAATATGTATAACAGATAAAGTTTTCTTTATGAAATTATAGCTGTGTGTGTAGCTTTTCAGAAACAAATGATATGCGCAAAGGACATTAATATCAGATCAAATATCTAATCTCCATATTTTCTATAATTACTTCAAGCAGATGTTGGTTTAATAGTTGGTGCTGTTATTGGTAGTTTAGTTGCTATTAAACTGGTTACTTTCGCTGTTGTGTTTGCTGTTAGACGTAGAAAGCAAAAGTACGTATACCATTCATATTCAAATTATCAAGAAATTAATTTATGAAGAGAATTGTGGAATTAATATGTGAATGAGTCTGTACAACAAAAATATGTTTTAAGATTTTGGATTTTCCTTTTGATACACATTTGTCAAATATCTAAATTTAATATGGTATTCGCTAACGATAGATATTAACAAAATAACAAAATGTTAGACAACAATCAGTTATACAACAATATCAAATAATTCACGAAATCTCGTAATGTTTGAGTATATCGAATGAAACATTTGGAATCTTCCCCTAATAATTATTCTATACTTACCGATCAATGAAGAGTTTGCCTATATGCATTTTGACATACGTCGTCTTTTTCATTATTTAGGGGTTCGAACTTTAGTTTTCGTTCTACTGGAAGTGATAAGGTAACAACTTTACATATGTCAATATTAACCTTCTTGATGATAATTACTTGTATATCAATCTTTTATTTAGATCCACTACATTTCACATTGACTTCTTAATCGTTCACAAGAATAGAATAGCTATGATGGCGACCACCTTTCATATTTCAGTCACGCAGAATGACATTTGTCAATTACTCATGGGGGAATACGTATTCTCTTCTTATATTAAGGAAAAACACAATAATGCTCCCGGATTGAAGAACTCTATTAATGTACGAAAATGCAATTTACATTGTTATTATATTACTTTATATTTCTATTTCTATTATATATTCTACCATTCTGATTCTCCAGCAAGGATTATGGGTAAAGTGTGACATCATAACCACTGTTGTGAAATATTTAGAGAATGAAGAATGATGTTAAAAAAATGTAAATTTCATTTGGGTACATTATGATGTTTACCTGGTCTCCCCCCTTTAAAATGGACCTGCTTGCATTCATAGAATGATTTTCGACAAGGTATAAAACAACATCACTGGAGATTGACCTACTGAGGTTTTTGAACACCTCACTTATGAGTTATATAGGTACTTGTGTCAGATCAAGTCGATGCCAGTTTATGAATCATACCAGGCTTGTTATAGCGCCACGATGTTTACATAAGTATGTCCATAACCATTTGGGTGTCATTGTCAACTGTTGGCACCATCTACAAAATCAATCTACACAGTCTGCTTCCCCACACGTTATATCTATAAACAATTGGCGAACCCGTTGATCAAAGACTAACAGGGATATCTTAAACAAACTATATGGACCAAAATGATGATGGTATTCAGTGATTATTTTACAAATTGTGAAAATATTTGCACTGAATTTTGAATATCTGGCAAAGGGTTAATACATGTATATTGTTTTTTCTTATTTGGTTTAAGGCTCGCTCTGGTGATTTTGACAAAAATCCATTTAGTGTAGATGCTGACGCCGGTGCCGAAGTAAGTACACTTGTCTCAGTCGTGTGTGTAACAAAATACAAATTTCTTATGAAAGCATGACACAAGGGCCGTTCAATGCCATATCGTTCTGATCTACCGTGGTCCTTCAATGAAGAGTATGTTATGAGAGATGTAACTTCTATCGGTAGTATGTTCTAGATGACAAACACAATTTTACTGACATTGTCGTCATCTATATACTTACGTCATTCTGACGTCATAGAAATGCTGCGCCACTAGAGGGTGTTTATTTCAATTCGCTCGTTTAACTTATCATTTATACCATCCAAACACATACTGAACGACTTTATTTGCTCTTGCGTTAAGTCTAAGATAGTTTCAAAGTTATGGCGTATTTTTATAGTTAAATGAAAATAAGTTGATAAGTTGTTTTTTTAATCTTAATTAGTTGTTCACAGTAGATTCGAACTAAGCAATTTGTCACGTGACCTCGCCGCTATATTTTTTAACTGGTGTTACATGATTGAATTTAAGTACAATATTATATTATTATAACACAATCATATTGTTTGTATTTTCAGAGCTGTGAGAATAAATACTCTATGGATAACCCCTTGTATGAGACAGACCATGCCACGCAAGCTTAGTTCGAAATGGAACATATAGTTACTCGGCAAGGTTTAATGGGATGCGGATATGCATTCATTAAGCACTGTTATATTTGTATGCAATGTATTGATATATTTTGTAATGTACATTTCATATATGGAAAATCTAGTCTCGATATACTGACATATATATCTCACTGTGTTGTATATGATTAATATTGTTATTTGCATAAAGTTGAGAGATGTAAATAGATAAAATAATCGGCAAATGGTATATGATAAATAATACGTATGCTACATAGACTAAGGATAAATGTTATTCCGTTTTTAATTTCAAATCTCTGAATATATGCAAACAAATACAATGTAGATTTTGCTCTTCCATCCACATTCATGGTAGGCTTGGGTAACAACTACCATGCTAATATCTTCTGGTATCTATTGTATTAGGTTAAAGGGACTGATTTATTAAATGAGACATGTTGTACTGATTCCACATGTTTATTACTATACCAGTATATATTCAGTTAATGATTTTTCGTCGATGTATGAGTGGTTATTTGCAAATATGTAGGAATGAATAAATGATTATATGTAGGCCCTTTTTCCATTATTTATTTTTGTTTACTTTATACGGAATATGTTTCAAAATGCTACTAGGCTATATTAGGCTTTATCGTTACAGAAGAGCTGTTTTTTCCATGTATTACAAATACAAATTGGCGAGCCACACTATTTTCTCATATCACACCATCTAAACTCTCACCAATCAATAATATATTTATTAAACACTAATCAGAGTAAAACTCGTTGAAAAACCATCGGTTTATTGTAGTGATGTTGTTTACCCGGGATCTAAGTCAGTATATTGTGCGTAACTCTGGGGATAGCCTTTTGAAAAACTAGTGATGGATAAAGCATTTTGTGAAAAAAAAAAGAAAACTTGAAGGTGAAAAGAGATATTGCAGAAAAGTGGAAATTGAATCAACCCCCCCCCCCCCACACACACACAAAATATTATAATGCCCAAATATCAATGCAAACTATTCCACTTTGACCGGAAGCAATGGATACAGATTGATCACAAAAATAGAACAGTGTGTATTTCAGAGTATTGTTTCTTGTCCAAACTGCTTTTATGGAGCAATGACAATAACTAATAGCTATTTGCTCACTTCCATGCTAGTTGTATGAATATTCAAATCACACAATGGGTCTCATTTCAAGTTTGCGAATGATACATGACAAACGATTTGAAACAGGAATGTCGAACACTTTGCAGTGAAAAAGCTTCATGTCATTTGTTATTAGGAAATTAGTAACTTAGTAAGTAGGAATTGTGAAACTGTTAAGTCGCCATAGTACGGCGTGTTTTATCAAGCCTATGGGGTCAAACATTTGAAATAATGGGATGGCTGGGAGGATGTAACAGGGCAATTGTTTGCGGTGTCTTTCTGAACATTTTTATTGTTCTTGAATGGTATTAACAATTGTCCCTGCACATTGCACACATTTTCCGCTTCTCTCTCGGTGTCGAACACTCCTGTCCCGGCATTGCTGGAGAGGCGAGGCATCATGAGACATGCGCATGTGCTTTACCCATCAATATATTGCCTGCTTGTTAGGTACAAAAGTACAAAATATCATACCATGGGTGGGCAAATAAGTGATGCAATGATAATGTGTATGGTGTTGAGAAAGCATTGTACACTTACCAACTCACCAAAATACGTTGTGTTGCGTCCTCATAATATATTACGTCAAACTGTATTGTTTGTGGACTCTATGTTAGTGTTGGTAGGGTTAATTGAGGATTTTGTGGTCTCAAGAAATATGGACTATGTCTGTAAAAACCTGCGGAAAATCAATAATATAATTATGCAAAAAAGAATCAGCTTCTATATATGTGCTTCAAACTATTGCCTGAGTGTGTATCAAGTTTGACACCAACTTTGTAACCTATATTGGAATATTGAATTATAACGCAACAAAAATTATTTGCATCTTTGAGAAATAATACATTACCTGAACTTACATGATTACATTTTGGTGGGAAAAGTTCTGGTCGAATGTTGCCAGGATAAAGGATTTATCAAAATAACAAAACAGTATTTTTTTTTCTTTTAGCCAAATTGTAAACTGTAAATTAACAAATATGCATACATGCTATTTAGATTGCAATTTCAGTTCATCTAGATTACATACTGATGAAGAAACTATTTATGTTTACTTTTGGGTTGGAAAGTTTGTCATTGTTTGTAGAAGCACAGGGACTGATGTATTTTAATAAATTATTAAATAATAAAATGTTATATAACTTCTCTTATACCCTCCTTCCTGGTATCGATTTCAATTAATTCAAGTAATCACTGATCTTTGTTTATACCACTTTCCTTCACCACAACGTTGTTACGCGTTAACGTTATATGCAAATACTACCGCGCGATGTAGACACACCCTATTATAGTAAAATATTCCAAGGGTTGAAACGCGCCAGGACTGTGGCATGAGCACAACCGTAAAGCCGGTGGGCATTTAATTTATTCATAAGATGCATTAATAAACAAGAAATGCTGCGCGCGAAATTTAAATCCGGCGCGTATAATCTGAATCAGTGACTCTTCTGTAAAATGGTTTCTACTTCAAATGTCGTTCGCGTTGCTCTTCGAGATCTTCGTAATGAAAATCATCAAAATAGCAGCAGCACAATTCATGGGAAAATTGTTTACTTCTGACCATGTGACACAACTATATATGAGTCTTTGCGATAGAGGTCAAGGATCGCAACATCCGGTTTCCGGCTTTACGGTTGTGCTCCTGCCATGTCGCTCGATCGCAATGAGTTTTAATTTGACAAATATTCAAGTGCAAATGCAATTGTGTCACTTGCTAATGCCATCCATGTCATTACAGATGTCATATGTGTAAAGAAAACGAACTTTGAAAGGTTCGAATGCGTGATTTTAGGCCACAGTCCTGGCGTTTATTAAATTTATCGACATTACAAATGCGCGTTTCTATATGCCATCAACTTAAGTCATATATACAAACACATCTATCAACAGTTTGAATTATATATTATTGCACTAAATCCTAACGCATTATCAAGACACATTATCAAACACAATTATTTGACAATGCGTTCTTGTATACCTTACCCTTCATCCAAACTACAGGCAAAGAAAAAAACGGGCGTCAACGATTTTTTCTCAAACTCTGCGATCCTACCTACCTCTATTTTTAATGTCTAAGTGGTTAGTTGCTGGTATGTACGTGACTGAATGAGCGTGTACGATGGCACGTTTTAAATTAATAAAACAAATAAAACATAACTTGTGTTTGTTTTGTAACGCCCCCAATTGTAGATTGTTAAAGGGTGGCAGTGGTCGCGCCACGTCCTGTTCGATATGGGACTCATAGCGACGTATACAACGCGTGGTAAATAAATTGTTTATTTACATGAAATTCGAACACGCGCTGCGCGACGACCACCGCGCTTTAACCGAGCTTTACTTTCAAATACATAGAATGGATAATGGGATGTAGTTAACTGCCATTTATAATATATGTCAGAATTATTTAAATGCTAGCATGGCATGCATTAGTTATACTTAACCACTCCTGCCTTTTCATATTTCGTGGAAAGTGGTATTTTTCGTTCATAATTCATTACCATCAATAGCAGTATTCCGACCATGAAATAATAAATTTCATTATACCTGGATTTACATATTCATACATGTAATTAAAAACAATTATGTTACCGCCAACAGTTTGAATTATATATTATTGCACTAAATCCTAAGGCAATATCAAGATACATTATCAAACACAATTATTTGACAATGCGTTCTTGTATTCCTTCCCCTTCGTTCAAACTACAGCCAAGGACAAAAACGGGCGTCAACGAACTTTTCTCGAACGTTCTATCGTTTCTTTGAGATATGACCAGTAAAAGTAGCTGTTTCAATTCAACATTCCCACATTAAACTTAAAAACAAATAAAACTTAACTTTTGTTTGTTTTGTAACGCCCCCAATGCATGTGACTTTCGAGTAGTATACTCAATCACAACTCTGCGATTCTGCCTACCTCTATTTTTATTAATGTGTAAGTGGTTAGTTGCTGGTATGTACGTGACTGAATGAGCGTGTACGATGGCACGTTTTAAATTAAATATCGGTTGATATGTTCTTCACATTTAAATAATAATGTACAAATCAAATACATATCTTCAAGGGTTGATGCTAACGATGAATTGACTTAAGCGACATTAAGGGTGATACCGATATATGTAGGCGTTTTTTTCGACTCGTTATTTTTATTTTTATATATTCATTTTTGGTTACTTCATACAAGATACGTTTCGACTTGCTAGTAGGATATTATTTTAAAGTTTATTTTCATGGTGTCTGGATTTTTACTCTGTCTTGAAAAAACAAATGTTGTACAAAGGATGCTACCCTTCATGTTTAGGAGTCATTGATTTGAATAAATTATTTGCTGGTTACGTGATCTAATTAATTATGCACACGTCTTATTACTGCTAACTGGGTACTGTGCACACGGGTGACGAGTCATGTGACCTAATTATGCACATATCTAATTGCAAGGAAACTAATGTAGAGACGTATTTACTACTAACTGAGTATAACGCACATAGATGAAGAGATTTGGATAGACTATTGAATTGACACGTGTCCTAATTTGTTCTACACCTATCCAGATCCCAGAGATCTTTTTCAGATACACATTAACTTAACGTGCTCGTCGATAGAGGGCGACCAAAGCGACAGTGAATGGATATCAACAATTGGCTGATTGATCTCAAATGCTGAACTTGTTGTCTGTGCTCAGGGTTACAAATGATATATAACAGGAAAATGTTTTTCTGTAAAATCACAGTCTATCTGGTGGTTAATGCTGAGGACAAATCACAGTGAAATGCCAATGCTATACTTACATGATGCAGACAGACGACAACATGGGTAGGTGGTTGCCGCGGCTGTTTAGTTTTAAATGTATTATTCCTAAGTTCCACGGCGTTGTTAACAACTCTTCATTGTCACATGTGTGGTGGTAATAAATTGTTTTTGAATTATATTTTAACTAATTTGTTTAATTTGCGTTTGCTCTACTTAATTTGCAAAATTAAAGTGAACTAAAGTAGGAGTTGACTGTCATTATGGACTGATCATTACAAAATTGGATGGCAACATTTGTTCGGTGTAGATTGTTAAAGGGCGGCAGTCGTCGCGCCGCGTCCTGTTCGATATGGGACTCATAGCGACGTATACAACGCGTGGTAAATACATTGTTTATTTACATGAAATTCGAACACGCGCTGCGCGACGACCACCGCGCTTTAGCCGAGCATTACTTTCAAATACATAGAATGGATAATGGGATGTAGTTAACTACTATTTATAATATATGTCAGAATTCTTTAAATCCTAGTATGACACGGCATAGCATTACTTAACCACTACTGTCTGTTCATATTTCTATGATGAATTTGTTTTTGCGTATCTGTTAATCGACTTAATTAGCTGATTATTAGCGAATGGCTGTGTTATGTCTGGCACCGTTTAGGCCATTTGAGGTTCTGAACGGAACTTGGCTCAGTGATTTGGAACTAATTACGAGATAACCGTCGCTATTCGGACTACTATTTCTGACAGTTAGTATTCGTAGTTATTAATGTAGTGAACGATTAATCAAAAGATATGACGTGTTCAGTACTTAGTGTGATTGGCTTTATGACCGAAGGTTACGCCTTAGAGTCTTAATACTGTTTTGTAATTGGTTAGAGTTTTGAAAATGAATAAAGAGAGTTTTAGTTGGTCTTGGCGAGTACAGCACGATGGACGCAGTCTAGTCCAGTCCTGGAGAGTCTTGGGCGAGTCTTGGGTCAGCCTTGCGATAGTCTTGGGGATTTTTCCCCAGGGCGCTGTGTCTTATAGAGTACTCGACTGATCGACTAAGACGAAAGTTGAAACGTATTTCGCTGTGTGTGTCTTATTTGACTGTAAAGCTTAAGTGACTTCCCCGGTCCCGTACCTCAAGGGGACGCGATAGAGAGACGAGACGAGATTTCCCCCCTGACAAGTGTGGAGAACCCCGAGGCCGAAGAATTCACCCCTGATATTTCGTGCAAAGTGGTATTTTACCTTCTGGACCTCAACAATAGCAGTATTCCGACCATGAACTAATAAATTTCATTATATCTGGATTTACATATTCATACATTTAATTAAAAACAATTATGTTACCGCCAACAGTTGTAGCTGTTTCAATCCACCATTCACACATCAAACTTAAAAACAAATAAAAAATAACTTTTGTTTGTTTTGTAACGCCCCCAATGCATGTGACTTTCGAGTAGTACACTCAATCACCATTCTGCGATTCTACTTTGATCACGACAGTTCGGTTTGAGTGCAGAAGTTGGTCCATTTCAGCATTTCCCAATTACATATAGATATTGTGCATCGCGTCTTTCTAAAAACATGGACTTGGCTCTGCTGTCGAGTTTGTTTGTTTGCATGGTTGGTGAGTATTTCCATCGAAACATATAGAAACTTTTGTTTTATGCATTGTCGTTAAAATGTTGTAAAATAAATGCGGCTTTCCAAACAATCTAATTATGTTGTGTCTTCGGTAGCAATATTGCGAATGTTTCTTTATGTATTCAGGGGGAAATGTTAGAAAACTGAAATAAGTGTCATCTATAAATAATGCAATGAAATCACAAAAATCTTGCCTCCACATCAATATATTGTTATACGAAGGTATTCGGATTATGGTGGGCGTTGTCGACAGTGCTTATCACACTAAGTACACGTATGTCGACAGGAATACAGGGTTCGATAGCTGGGTTGATTTGTGTTTGCTAAGCGTTTGGAGTGATTTGGCTACATTGTACAGTGAATGTAGGTAGTCAATTCAGCCCAGATATTGGTATATGGATATATGGGATCTTTAACACGTACGAACTTGAAGATATCAATCCGGTCTGTGTGCATATATAATACTACTTACTTTGTAGCGTGATCGTAATGTCTCCTGGAATTCGAGCGTTGATCTCTAAACTAATATTAACTGGTAATAAATTTGCTATATTAAGGTTCTTTATATTTTACAGGGATATCTACTGGAGGTGAGAGGAATTCAATTAGAACAAGTATATCGTGAGATAGTGGCTGATTAAATATACTCTGTATCTGTATTCACATTATTAGTATTTACAAAATGAACCCGTTTGTAGTAGTATCAGGAATCAAATGAATTGGTGTATTTTGATATCTTAATAGTTTTTACGCGTCCAAATCACGATTCTGTAATTTTATGTTTTCAGTGTCGACGACATCTCCATGTGGCGTTGAACAATTCGCCTGTACTGACGGTACATGTATCCATGGTACACAATACTGTGATTTTATAACGCAATGTCCGGATGCATCGGATGAAACCACGTGCCGTAAGTCCACGTGTAAACTAACTGACCTATCATATGATTGTCAACGTACCACTCAACTGCAAAGTCATTTAAAAACTGTTTTGTTTTGCTGTTGTTTTTTTTGTGTGTATAAAATGTAAACGAATGTGAAATTGCATTCAGTTAACATTTTGTGTGAAACAGACACTGGCAAAATGAAGACCGCCTTCTAATAATATATATAAACCTTAATGGTATCCTTTATCAAGGTCTATGCTTCTAATGAATAAATATTCGCTTGGTCAATCGGCGTATAGGGCTGAATGCCGTTCGTACTATACTGAAACAACCAAACATTTTGTAATGACACGTGGCTTTATGTATTATGTTTAGCTACGACGTGTACTTTTCAATATGATACATGCGGGTGGTATGAAGACTCGCCAAGTGATGGCTTCGACTGGTACAGATCACGTGCGTACGACACCCAACAGTACCCAGATTTGGCACCGAAATATGATCACACTAGCAATAGCATATATGGTAAGTAATGCAAATCTTCCCATTAAACATGCGACAGTATATTTGCATTGAGTTTCAATTTTTCATTTATGGCATACAAATATAAAGATGAAATTAAAAATATATTTTATTTCATTACATCTTTCTACATTTATAATCTTATCAAATTTTTTTTTTTCGGAGCGCACTTTTTTGTTTTGTTAATTTTACTTTGTTATTTGTTTTAGTGACTTAGTCACTGCTCTAATCCAAGGTGATTCTGTGTGTATTAAATAGAGACTTGAGGATAATAGTACATGATGCTCTCAGATGAAAGAGCTACACAAATTTAGGGAGAGCAGTTTACAGTTACAGTTCACAGTTTAATATTCCACTTTTTAATTAGTTTAATTGTCTACCATTTTTATTTTCCATTAAGGGATTATGGGTAAATATTACATCACGACATCTGATATACTATTCAAATTAGACTGGCAA